ATAAACGCGATTGTACAGCTAAGTGATGAATGAATTCGCCGGCGGTGAAAAGAGACTCTTCGCTGCAATTTGTTTTTGTTTTTTTTCAACAAGGCTTAATTCTTCTTCCACCTTGTTAGGCAAACATAACTTTCTGGCTTTTTCGTACAGTGGAATTACTAATCCACGCTTATAGCTTATAGGGCAGAAGCTGTTCCATCAAAGGGATTGTCCAGTCCAGGTTTCTTTTCTGTAGATGAATTTTTTCCACCGTACCATTGTTTCTTATTTTTACATTAAGGTCCAAGAAATTGAACTCATCGTTGTGTTTATATTCCATGGGGAATTTAATGTTTAGGTGTATCTCATTAAGACGGTCATTTGACTGTCTTATGAACTATATATAACCTTCTTGAGTTACAATGTGAACCTGCATACTAACAGTAGCAGCTGATGAAAACCTGTAAAATTGTTTGACGATGGTATCATTTTTATACTGCGAATCTGGTCTTTCTTTCTTTATTGAAAAGTGGTAATAAATAGCAAGAGTATTCCACGAAATGTGTACATCAGTTCATAGAAAATTTTATTAAAAGAAAAGGATTGCAGTGAAGGAAATTTTCTTTTCGCTAAAGTCATCAGCTGGGCTTTACATTCGTGTATCTATGGGGTAAACAGGTGAGAAAGTTCCAGAACTGACTCCCGTCGACAGTCAATTTGACAAGATATGAGAATAAAACTTGTGCACTGTGGTAGCACAAAAGCTTGTCCCTGAGTGAGTTGTAGGTTTAAATGCCACCACCCTAATTCCTGCTTTGTTATTAAGAATCCTACGTAGGGTCTCAGATGTCCCCTCTTAATATGGTATAACTGTAGATGACTTATATTCTTTCTTATTTATGTTATTATTACTAGTTTCACAATTATTTTTAATTTGGTTTTGGCCTTTTTCAATCAATATGGCCTTGGAAGCAGTTTAAAAGAATTAACTGCAGACCCTGAACTCACCTACAGGACGAAACTACCCATTGAAGAAATTATTTTAGGAATTCAGTTGTGCCTCACATCTACTATCTTTAAATTCCAAGGCAAAATATATAGACAAACTGAAAATGTAGCAATGGGATCACCAATATCCCCTATCGTAGCAAATATATTTATGGATAGCTGGGAAAATATTGCTCTTAATACATTCACCTAATCCTACTCCAAAAATATGGTGGAGATATGTGGATGACACTTTCACAGTGTTAAAAACAGAACATATCTCTAGCTTCTTGACACACATAAACTCACTAGTGGAGGGAATAAAATTCACATTTGAAGCCGAAAATGAACAAGGAGAATTAGCTATGTTAGATTGTAAAATAAAACGAATAGAAGAAGGCAAACTACACACTAGTGTTTATAGAAAACCAACGCATTCTAATAGATATTTAGACTTTAATTCATCTCATCCTTTAACTGTTAAGGCAGGCTTAGTTAAGTGTTTAACAAACCGAGCAATAGCACTAAGTAGCACAAAAAAGACCTAAATGATGAAATAAAACAGATAGAAGAGGCGTTGGTTTTAAATAACTATCCTCTAAAATTCATTAGGAAGATTGAAAAACGCCAGAAGAAAAATAAAAAGAATTGTGAAACTAGTAATAATAACATAAATAAGAGAGAATATAAGTCATCTACAGTTATACCATATAAAGAGGGGACATCTGAGACCCTACGTAGGATTCTTAATAAAGCAGGAATTAGAGTGGTGGCATTTAAACCTACAAACTCACTCAGGGACAAGCTCTGTAGGTTAAAAGGACCCTGTTGGTTGACCCAATTAGACAAAATAATATAATTTACAAAATACCCTGCAATGACTGTGAGGTCAACTACATAGGTCAAACTAGTAGGTCAGGGGTAGTCAGATTGTCGGAACATAAGAATTTAGCTAAGGTAAGAATGGTTGACCCCACCCGAGAAGATAAGTAATTTCGAAAGGCAGCTTAGCAATTGCAATGCATGCATTAACACACAACCACACAATAGGGTGGGAGAGGGTTAAAATTCTAAAAAGTAATCTAGGTAGGTGGAGAGAGAGGTTGATTACTGAATCCTTGTTCATCGAATCTACACCCAACACATGCAATAGGAATGATTCATCACTCATACCCGAAATATGGAAAATATTACTACCAATCAAATCAAGTGAAAAACAATGGAACTATATAAATGAATTTAGGAAGTCGTGTGATTACCTTGATATGATTATGAGCAATAAATTGTGCTTGAAACGTCATCAGTAAACATTACTGTATAACACTGTGAGACTTTATGAAAACAAAATTTACCCATAATGGAATTTGACAAGATTATAACTAGTGGGTTGAAATGAAATAACAACCACAAAATAAACACGAAGATTGAATATGAACATAGTAGGATCATAATTCTTGAGACAATTGAATAACACTCTACTCAATTTCGATTTTAATATTCACTTACTCACTCAGCTGAATTCACTATTAAGGTGTCAAATCTACTAAATTAAATTATTTTATCTATTTTATAGTTTCACTTCACTATTAATCCCTATCCACCTTCCTCAACTCTCCGCCATAAAATGTATAAATTCACTATGTTTTTCTATCTTGTATTTTGTCTCTAGTCCACCTTGGTTTCCAAGGGAAATCTGAAGTCTACAAGCTTTTTTTTCTTTTTTAACTCCTTTACATTCCCAGTGGAACATGTAGCTTCAAGCTATAGGTCTGAAGTTTCAGAAGCAGTGGTATTTATTCTTACTGGATGGGGTTGCTAGCCTCATGCCCCTAACCTTCCCTCTTTATCAGTCTCGCCACTGACTTAGCGAGGTAAAAGAGTGCGTCAGTGGCCGGGGTCGAACCGCAGACCACGTGAGGCGTGGTCGGCGAGCATTCTCCAGCTGTGCCACCCACGCACACCCCGTGTCTAATTACTAAATAAATAGTTACTGATTTTAACACTAAATAATTGTCTACTTACACCATCTTTGTAGTCGTTTTGCGTATACTTTCTATCTTTATCTTGAAATCATTATTAGTATTATCATTATTGTAAGTATGTTCAGATACCATTTGAGATGTACGTGGCAGTTGAAGACGGGCTCATATTATCAGAATTGCAAACATGTTCTTTCTTTCTTTTTTTATTCAAACTAATAAAGCGAACTACCGGCTGTATGAAACTGAGTTCTTGTTCATTTAGGGGTTAAAAATGTAGTCATGACAAAGTACACAGGAAGTTTGGATCAAAAGAACATAGTAATGCAAACAGCGATTAGAGAATACAACAACGTAAAAATTAAAACAGAAATAAACAAGAGGATTGGATAAGGAAGGAAGGAAGGAAGGTGAATCACTATTGAAAGAATCGACTGTCTATGATGGTCATGACACAGACGGACGCTGGACATATTTCTTATGAATACACAGCGTGGACTTGAACTTTTGGATCGTTAGTGTCCCAGAAATGCCCAGATGCATTGATTTCACTCCCTTTGGGAGGTCTGATCGGATCTTGTAATTTCATCTCCTCCTCACACGGTCTCGTCCACACCACCTCAAAACTGCATACTCGTCGTTTCCCACTCAAGGGTCCCACTTCATCGATAACTCGGTGTGCGATGTCACACGATAATCTCTTCCCACCCTTCTCCATTTTCTTACGCGTATTTGTTGCTTTGACGATAGGTTGTTGATTGCTTCCTTCTCAGAGTTTCTTGTTGGTAGTCCTTTCCATTGACCATCTGATTTTCAGTATGCAGCCAGCCAACGGCTGTTGATGAAGATCTGCAGTCTGTTAGAAATGGATTTGTGACTCACCAACTGACTTAAGGTTGGTGAGGAGAATGTGGATCTTGTTATGTATGTTGAAGAGTGCAGAAGATTTCTTAATTGATTGCAAGGTGATGAAGGTTTGTGTTGCCTTTCTGATTCTGGGTGATTTTGATATCGTCGCTTGCGTCACGCGGTTATAGTTGAAATGATGTTTTCTGGATAAGTGAAGGAAGTGACCTCTTCCAACCTTTTTCTCCCGTTGATGGTGATTGGTGCTGGTTGTTGTTGTGGTGGTTGGTGGTGGTTGTTTGGTTGTCTTCACCACCTCCGTCTCCACCTTCTCTCTTTTCACCTGGACTATTGTCTTCGCTGCCACTTTCTTCAACCAGTTTGTTAGTTTTCGCCTATTTGTCATGGAATCTGTGTGACATTGAACATAAATTATCCGCGAAATCTAGACCTACTAGAGTCTTCCTATCGACGCAGGTCACTCCTGTCTTTTTGCTTCTCGCAAGTCACACACAATCGAGTCCTCAAAAGTCATCATTGTCCCCTAAGGTAATAAGCAGCCTTGTCTTTTTCTTCTATTCACCTCAAAGGCAGGTTTCGCCGAGTTTTCCTTCGTTGATGACTTGACATGTGACAGCATAGTTGTGTAGCTGTTGAATGAGTTTGATAAGGACTTGGGTCATGCTATAGTGTTGAAGTAGCCTCGAAATCACCTCACGACCAACGCTGTTGAAGGCATTTCCAAAGTCGATGGAGCTGAGGTAGAGATTTGACTGCCATTCTATGGTGTGTTCGGTAATGATGATGATGATGTTTAGAGTTGTAAATCAGTCCGCACATGATTTGCTTTACCTAAATCCAGCTTGTTTCGTTGGGGCTGCCAGAGTTCCACACCCAGTGAATCTTTTATCCTCTCTCCAGGATGACGCGACTTAATACTTTACTGGAATAGGGTAAACAGAAAAACTCAGGCTGACGAAAGCCTTCGGGAAGACAGTCGGCTGATGAGTCTTCTCTTGATGAAAGCAAAAATAAGCATGGAAACGTGGAATGTTCGGAGTATTTCTTGTAGCTGACACCTTAATTATGCGTATGAAATAAATTTTACTCAATGAATGCTTTAGGGAGATTCCATTCTCGCTCTCTCTCTGTTTATTCAATATTCAATGGTATGCTCATACTGTCATTGTAGAATTTTCTTCTTTTCAGGTTATTTTGCCATATGTGCTAAACAATGTTAAAAATATCACCAAAACTACAGGAGGTGGAAGATTTTTAACAGAATTTGGTCTTTGCTTTCCTGATGATAACCCAAAATCAATAAATACTGTGGAATTTAACGCTGTACTGAATGCAGCTGATGAACATTTTGAGTCATGGACGTATTGGGATGATTATAATGTATTTCCTAGAGTCACTCTTTATGATACTCAAGTAAGTTGAGAATTAATTTAAACCTGTAAAATGCTATTTATGCATATATATATATATTTTAATGAATTTTTTATATCATTCAGACTACTTGCACGGTTATTCAAAAGTAATTATTGCATTGTTATGTAATTTACCGTGGAAGTGTTACAGTATTTCATAAGAAGATCTGGATTTCACGTGTGGATGATTTATATCGTTGAATATCACACACAAACTCGAAGACTTGTAGGCGAAAACGAACAAGTTGGTAGAAGAAACAGGCAGCGAAAACAGGACTCCAGGTGAACATAGAGAAGACGGAGGGGATGAAGAGAACCCGCCAACCAGCACCAATCAACACCAACGGGAGAAAGAGGTTGATGCTGGCTAGGCAGCATCGTTTCAACCGCAGGCGACAGCACGCACGAAGATGTGAAAGCCAACCAGCCAGCCAGCTAGGCAGACAGAATCAAAAAGACAAGCCAGATACACACCCCTTCATCAACCTGAAACCAGTTTGGCAATCTTTCGCAATATGCCTCAGCATAGACAACAAGATTCAGATTCTATTCAACACAAATGTTAAGTCAGTCGGTCAGTCAATTCCTCTATACGTGTGCATCACGGAAAACATTTCCAACAGTCATTTGCAGACTTTATCAACAGCTGCCACCTCCGCTGCCTGGCTCCATACTGAAGATCAAATGGCCAGTTGGCCAGCCGTCCAGAAAGAATTAGCAACACGAAACTCTGCCAATGAACAAACTAACCAACAGCCAATTACTCAACAGATATGTAGGAGAAAATGAAGATGATTTGATGGGATATATGCTGAGGAAGGAGGCCGTCGAATGACATCATGCTCAATGCGGGCCGTCTATCACATGAGTGTAACACCCAATGGGAAGCGACGAGTGGGTTTTCGGTGCTATTGTGTCATGGAAGAGATCGTGCGAGTTGAAAGGAGGAGGGGATGATAGATTATGGTCAATCGTGGCGTTAGCTAGGTGAAAAGGAGAGCAGAAAATAGGGGAGAATGGAGATGTCCTGTTGACGCCGTCCACTAGAAACTCAAAGGAACAATAATGATAATAATTTCATTAGAATTCAGAGCCCATTATATAATGATGTAAGCGATTTCCAACATTGAAAAGTCGGGTAATTTAATTCAATACGATTGTGGAAAATAAATGCAACGGTGGATGAATGAATATTTTCACAAATGTTTTCGTCTTGATCATCGTTCAAGTAATGCAGTCTGCATATTGAGAGCAGTTATAAGGAATAACCTCCCCCCAACCCTCAGAAACATGAATTATTAAAAAAAAGCTGTAAAATTGCAACTCTTTGCTTTCACAATTGACGCAAGATTCTTACACGAGGTAAAGGATATTTGAATGTATAACATGTTTTCAATTCAATCTTTTTTTGGGGGATCTCAGATCTCACTTTAATTTAAACACAAACTTTTAATTTCTATCATAAGTGAACTAAATCTTGCCTAGTTAACAAACTGATCTCTAAGCCTAGAAAAGGTCTAAAGGGTTGACAGTGTGGTCACACAGAGATTCTACTATGTGAAAAAAGACTTCAGGACACAGAAATAAGACGTATATTTTCTACTGGAATCGCTGACTGCTGAGAGGAGCTCTAAGGAAGTCAGTCAACCAGTATGTCTTCTATCGATGAAAGCAAAAGTAAGTGTATAGGGATATGGAATTCATAACATTTTTACGAGCGCTAGTGTAAAACGAAATGACTTCTTTGTATCCACTTTTTAGTTCTGTAAGGTGTAAAAAGCTTTCTGGTCTAGTCTCTGTTAAGCATCTGCATATAGTGCGTTCCACTACACCTGACTTACGTAGCGCTTTGACTGATATCTCACGAAGGACGAGACGAGGGGAGGTGTACTGGGATCGGTTAAATGTGATTTACAGTATGTGGTGTTCTATACAGTCAGTCAGGAGAATATACTCTACAGAGAAATCAGAGAAAGCATTTATGATTATCCAAAAGATGTTCAAAGCCGACGGTTACTCTCACAGATTCATTAATAAATATAGAAGGTGTGAAGGCTATAACACCAAACAGATTACAGCAGGAAAGAAGCCTAACGTCATTCAACTTGATTTTAAAGATAACAATATTGCAGTAATAATCAATAAAAGATTGAATATTTCACTAGCAACAGCCTCTTCTGCAGCTAGCTAAGTTGGCTGCCATCTATCGGACAATATGCCCCATTTTGGTGCAATCAAATATCGACAGATACCCACCTCTCTCACGCGAGCATGTATCTGTGGGGGCAGTTACATTGGGAGAATAGAAAGAAGAAGTACATTGCCAGGCATCTCCATGACACGGGTGATGAGGTGAATGTCGCAAGATCGCTGAAAATTATCAATAGGCAAAAGAGTCCATTTTTCCATAGGCTTGCCAAGCAATCTTCGTCAAACGCCTGAAACCTGACTTATGCGTTAAAGAATAGGTGGTTATCGGTCTTTCCTTGTCCTGTTTTCATAATTTCTTTTATTTCATTACGTAACGCAATCCTTATGTGGCTGCCTGATTATCCAGCTTCCACTTAAGGCTTTTTTACAGACGCTGCAGTAGACACATCTGTAGGTTAAAAACGTTCCATGGGTGGTAAACTTGAAGAGAAAATAAATGGGAGCTCACTCAAGTCTCTGCTCTCTGATATGCTGCTATGCTTCGTGGATTACCACGTGGAAGGCCATACACTTAGTGGAATGTCAGATGTATGTTTCAGACTGGGGGGGGGCTAGATGGCCTACATTACAGAGGAATCGAAATGATATGATACAACAGTGACAGAGATATCTACGGGAACAAATAGAATGGAAATATGCTCTCAAAATTGGCAACTGCAAAGTCAATAATATACTGAGGTCAACCAGATGACTATCATGATATCACCAACACAATCGAAGACTCTTATGTAGTGCAGAACAAATCTCCTCCACACTTATGACAGGAAGACTCAACTTGAAAGGGAAGGATGTTGCAATTTATACACTTATACCCTCATTTCCACGCAACTCAGACTTAGCGGTGAAGATGTAGGATTTCCACAAGCATCTGAGAAACAAGACCAAATCCAGATGGTAACATCGAAATTCTAACAAGTGATATGAATGCAAGTCAGTCTGGCAGCAGATAAAACGGGAAGGGAACTGACCATCAGTCAAGAGACACACATTGAAATGACTGAGAATAGAGAACTGTCTGCAGACAACAAAGTGTTTAATAACTTAGTGAATGGATGCAACGCGTACATGCGCAAAGATATCCACTGGATGAGGTGGCTTTCACCGGATCGATAGGCTGAAAGTCTGACAGAATTCATCTCAATCTCAAAAAAGTAAACATGCAACAGATGTAGGTTGGAATCACCTAATGTTTTGTGCAAGGAACCTTCAAGACCAAATTGATAGGGGGCCTTGAAGAAGCGGATAATGAACCACAATTCAAGTTCAACACTCAAATAGTGAAGGACTGAACTGCAAAAGACATTCCTAGTTGTAATCAGGAAACGTCAGAGGCATGAAGCAACATCAACTGAAACTGTATGGAAGCCATGTGGAAGGAAACTTGTATAAATATCTCAAACAAGAAGAAGAAGAAGCAGGATAAGGACTATCTGGCTCTTCATCAATACCCGGAGGCGTATACTCGGGTGAAGGATAGTGAAACAGATGAACAAGTGCAGTGATGAAAAATCAAAGTGCAACAACAGAAGGCAAGACACGGAAGCCAAGGTATATTTTCCATTAAGCAAACAGCTGTTTATACATCTACAGTTTATATTCGTTAACCAATCACTGAAGGTGTGATTTCGGTTTACATCAAACGACATGAAATAGAATGTTCAAATATACATAGTATCCTTTTGCTAATGCCGAACTGAACTGTAGGAACATGTGAGAATAACATTCCGTTGGCACACATTGTCTGTATCACACCACCACGAAAAGAGTGGCGGACAAGGAAGGATGAGGGAGCCAGGATAACTCTCAGTTGCTCAGGATGCAACCTTCAAACCTGTAGCCGATTATCGTCGTCGGAGCGGTTCAATCCTGTCTTTGATGCATTATGTCTGCAGTTTTAGAACTAACGAGCAACTTAAACAACTGCGTTACATTAATATTCCTATCCAGCATTCACTGAGACTCAAAAGGCTGTGGACAGCAGGAACTATCTTGAGTTAATTTCCCAAGTACTAGAAAACTACGGAATTCAGTACTGTAAACTTATATAAACATCCTTCAAGAAATCGTGTGAGTTGAGGGGATGAGGAGATGACAGATTATGGGCAGTTGTGGGTCTAGGCAGAGTATAGAAGAGAGTGGAGATGTATTGCTGAAGCCGTATATGTTCCACTCGGAACACAAGGGAACACAGTAATGATAATCATATATTAATAATGAGTTTATAATGAATCCTAAGGATAATCTTGAGATACAAAAACTCTCAACTGACATGTTTTTTCTCTGTCTCTCTCCGTTTTCCTTCATTATCCCCCTCTTTAGCTTAGATCATTTAGTCGTGCTTATCCGCAATCAACAGCTGGTCAACCGATACGATTGAATTTCAATGTGCAGACAAGTGAATTCTATTATACATTTATGCTGACACATAAATGTAAAAGTAATCAGAAATTGTTGTTAATCGCAGAAATCTATGTACCATTACAGACACATTATCCAGCTGGAATGAATGTCACTTTTATACCCAATGAATTATACTATGTAATGAATAAGGCGAATACAAATCTAATGTCTGTTTATGCACCATGCACACTCATTCGTAATAATAATAATAATAATGATAATAATAATAATGATAATAATAATGATAATAATAATAATAGTGATTTACAAGTTGAAATAAGCATTACACCATTTCATTCGTCTAGTAGTAATGAGAACTCCGGTAACATAATATCCTATTCAACTTTAATACAAATTTTATTAATTATTAAATGTTTATTGTTAGCGTCTATCTGAGATTTTCTGTTTTGTCTGTTGTTGTTTGTTGTTTGTTTTTTTGCTTTTTTTATGTGATTAATTGATTTGATTTTGATTTTGACTTTGACTCTGATTTTGATTTTTATACATTCCTAACAAGATGATTTTTTGAGCGAACAATTGGAGTTTCGATAACAACGACTTCTTGTTCTTCTTCTGCGTCTGCGCCTGCTTCAGACTCTACACAATTATAAATCCATGAATAATATTAGAATATATATACAAATAGCCAGCCATCATTAAAGGCATATGTGAAAATTATATCAGAAAGTGGTCTGTATTAGGTGAGGTACATGCATATAATATGGAGTGATAGTTCCTTAGTTAATACTGTCATCAGTTGAATGTATATCGCACAATTTGTGCAGTCATTCAGACAAATGGGTGGTAACACACTGGACAGTTGTCTCATCCTAATTTGTGATTCCATTACAGCACTACGCATCCACCCCACTGTGGTTCAAACCCAGCACATTTAACATACTTTAAGCGTAGGATATAAATAGATTTTTCGAACACATCAACTCAAGGGTGGAGGCAATTCAATTCACTTATGAATTTGAAAGTCACGAAGCGGAGCTTCCAATGTTAGATTGGGAAGTTAAGCACTGGTGATTACGGGAAGACCACGCGTTCAAACCGAAATTTGGATTTGAGATTATCGCACTGCGATGTCAGTAAAAACAGGATTAGTGAAATGTTTAAGTGACAATAGGGTACAAAATGTATGCAGTTTGAAAGAAAATCTAAGACAGGAAGTGAGGCATATAAGAGAATCTTTGAAACTTAATTAGCAATAACCCGGATAAATTATTCAGGAAGTATGTAGGAAAATGTAAAAGTAGAACTAATAAATAATAAAACAGTTGTGTTAGTGATAATAATAATAGTAATATCAATGATGACATGCATGTCAAACATTCACAAAATGATGACAACACAAACAAGGAGGAATTTAAATCACCACTTGTACTTCCACCCAAAAAAGGAATGTTGAAAACCTCACGGTGGAGAATTCTTAACATTGCAGGAAGGAATAAAAGTGGCAGGCATTCAAACCACCCACAAACTCAATTAGAAACACACTTTATTGGATAAAGAGTCCTGCCTTTGAAGCCCATTAAATGAAACTATTTAGTTTATCTAATACCCTGCTCTAATGATTGTCACATCAATATAGTAGAACAGCGTCAGTCAGTTGGACTAGCGGAGCACAAAACCTAGCAAAATCTAGATCAGTTGACCCGAATAAGATAAGGAATCTGGAGAACAGTTCAGCTATGCCACTCACTACATGCAATTACCCACAACCATAAAATATAGAATGATGGGATGACAGTTTTAAAATCTAAAGTAACAGGGTGCGGAGGTAGAGATTGATAACCGATTGAGACTTTATTTATCGAATCAACTGAGAGAGAACACGTGAAATTGGAATAATTGAACATCTTCTTTCCATTCAGACATCTAGAAAATTCTACTAAGCTCACAGACGAATGGGAAGGTATAAAGAAAACTATAAAACGAGAGTTTCAAAGTTGTGTGGTTATAATTGATATTATAATTATGAACAATAAATAAATAAACTGATAATACTGTTTCACTCTGTGTATGTGTGTGATATATCTAATAAACAAATTCATTGTGGAATTACAGACTACTTAAATGCTTTAGTGTTAGATAAACTTTCATCAGACAGTTTGCTATTTGATGTGTGAACAATCCCAGGTTCCGCCAACTGACGATATAATTCTGTTGCCATCTGATACCACCAGTGACTGCCAGTCCTCATACCGGAATTGGTGGATCCAACTGGCTACAACTTCTCATGAGAGTTTCAGCATGTTTACTCCGTAGTCAATCAATAGAGATCAGTGGATCAATTTCCGAGTAGTGGATTGATTTCAAGCTGGGGCACTACACTTTACAAAGCAACACAAGGTAGTATCCATTTTCTATTGGATTCCAACCCGATGGTTAAATGGTCCAAAATCTCGCTCTGTCAAATGTAGGTCCTCAGTTCAAAGTCTCCTCGGGTTGTCGTTGGTGTACACTGGTGAAAAATCTCAAACTGTCCGCCTTCTGTCCCCCTCCCCACATGGTTTACAGTCGTTGTCTATTTGATTTTGGTCTGTAACGAAATGTATCTTGAAGTTAATCGGTTATAAACTCAGTTTTCGTTTACCACAGAATCAGATTGTGTATCCCCTTAATATGTTTAACCTTCATCAACAAAAGTCTATATCCACAGCATAACTATCATCAGTTGCGATCACTTCATAAATGTCCTATCTCCATTTGCTATTATTTGACGATAAATTCATGATATCATTTGACGGATCTTCCTTATTCAACGATATACCACTTTATGGAAACAGTACACTTTGCATGCGAAGAACTCATAAGACGAAACAGTGATGTTGGCATTCTTATATCTTTTATAAAAATAGCTTCTTTTGAGATACACAATGAATGTTCACTTTCTTTTATTTAATTAAGAACTATACAGACAAATTGATGATGTGGCAATGGCGTCACCACTACGAGCTATTCTAGCCGACATTTTCCTTGCAAAACTACAGAATACGACTTTGAAAGGTGTAACTGATGAACTAGAATTCTACTGTCGTTAGATAGATGATGATACATTTTTGATTATGAAAAATGAGGATGATGCAAAGAACACCCACTGACAAATTTAACCATGTTCATCCTGCAATAAATGTTGCCATTGAGAAAGAAAGAGACACTAGCATTTCATTCCTAGACGTCCTTATAACTAGAAAAGAGGACGGTACAATAAAAATAAGTGTGTGTAGAAAACCCACATCAACTGACTATCAGTATACTCATTTTTTCAGCTTTATACCTATGAAATTCACAAACGCCATTTAATACAGTGCTTGGTCCGCCACAGATCAATATCAATCTGCTCTGATGGATGTCTTCATGAAGAGCTCAATATTATTAAACAGTTACTGGGTGAAAACGGTTATCCAAAAAAATTCATCTATCAGAATCTGAATCAAAAGTCAAGGTAGGCAAGCAGGCCACAGTACCGACCAACTGTTTCGAAAAAGGAAGGCCTTATTCTCACAACTCTAGTTCCTCGGTGATGATAACAACAGTGAGATATTGAAAACAACGCTAGGGAATGCGGTGTTAGAGATAAACTGCCTAATTCCGCCTCTCCTATGTGTATCCATCAGTTTGGCTGCTGCTGTGGAGAGAGTCAATTAGTTGGATAGGCCGTACAATTAGGCACATTTATCGTTGGATTTCCGAACCCTCTCCTGCACAGTGGTTTAATAAGGGAGAAACAAAGTCCATTCATAGGTCTATTCTATCTCATCCAGCAGATACATAACAAAAGATTGATTCAAACAAAGCAGCTTTCAAAGTCATCTGCTGTATGTACCAATTAAGCTTAATTTTACCTCAAGACTTTGTCTATTACACATATTGCTGGGGCTGTTGCGATCGACACTAAGAAGCCCAATCTATGTATCCTGATGAAGTTGGTCGGTTCAGACACTTCCACTACCCCACTGGCCATCACTGAAGGTTTTAATGATCTTTAATTTGTTGTTGTAGAGATTTCCTTAATTTTATTTGATATTCTATTTACTATTACATTTCTATGCTTCTTATTATTATAACTCATGCATCATTCTTGAACTGTAATTTCGTTGATATTATTTCAGTAACACCAATATTGTTAATGAAGATTATTCTAGAATATTATTCTGTATATGTTTATATATGGCGCCGGAAGAGGAAATTATTAAGAAAGGATATTCTTGGCTCAATTTTTTTTCTAAATATCAGTAATTCATTGAAAAGCAGATTCTACCAGTTATATACTAAGAAATATAGTGCAGAAAATTAGGATAATAGAGAAGATTTGCAGCTCAGCTGGATGATTTGGAAGTAGTTGTGTTCTCTTAGCTGGCTGGTTCAACTGCGATGCTAAAACTTGAGCTGAAGATGTTGTCCAGAATAGGGGTATGACGAAAGCTTCTCAATTAAACCAGCCAGCTCAGAGAACACAACTAATTCCTGAAAATTAGGATACTAATTGAGATATTGGGGGTGGGGGAGATGACCTTCACATTGCGGTTTAACAGAATCCTGTTTGTGTTGCGTCTTGCCAACGTCACAGAAATCGAAGTTGCACCCTAAATGGCCGAGGACAGGTATACAACTAACACGTTTTCCGAGGAACATAGCTGCATAATCATTATTTTTTTAGTATTTACATAAGCAAGTATATTTCCCACATGGATTTATACTCAAGAATTCCTACTAAATGTTAAAAGAAACGGGTATGTCTAAGCAGCCAAATTATGTACACCTTTTCTCCAACGCATCATTTGCACAGATCTTCCGTGTTGTGCAACTTCTGGCCCCCTTAGTATTGTGTTTCTTTGTGTTTCTTTCACATCTCCCATGTATCTTCACAACGCTTTATCACTTGCCTTCTCTGACATCAAATCTATCTCCTTGCTATTTGGTGCTTTTATGCCAATGAACGTCTGTTTATATATTACTACTGATAAATCTTATCAGTAGCATTCGACACACTACAGAAATTTTTAAAAAATCTGCATTGACCGTATTTTGTGGATACGACACATGATAACGAGGTCCTATCACTTAAAACTATTAAGACTATTCTGCTGGTAAAGACTGAATTTCTTAGAAATTGTTATACCTTACTGATGTTTGTCACATGATGACAAGATTTCTGCATTCCGATCTTCTCACACTTCCAATGTCGGTATACAAACGCCTACTACTACTAATGTGTACCAAGGATGTACAATTCCAGTTTGACAACACTCTTTACCGCCAAGTAGATTGTGTAGCTATGGACAGTCCACTTAACCCTGTTTTAGCAGATATCTATCTTCATGTCCAACCTTGAAAGAACAAAGTTAAAACATGCAATCAACGAAACAACTTCTTATTGTCGATATGTCAATGACACACTAGTAAT